TAAAAATGCTAAAAATTTTAATAAGAATAATCAATAACTAGATGTCAGTATGCAACGCATTAATCATCGGGAATTTAATAAATAATCAATGTAAGTCAGGTGTTCAAAATACTTTTTATTAGAAAAATACTTATTTAAAAATCCTTATCTCACACTCTCATGTTTATTGGTTCAGACTATATTGTTAAATCAAAATGAGTGATCTCGCTGTATCATTCGAATTAAAGATACATTTTGAAAATAAATAAGTCCTAATTAATTCTAAAGTGCTTCCGCTGTGTTTAAAGTTAATGCATAGTCTCAGCTATCTGGTTAAAACCTCAAACTCTCGTTTATCTTGACCTTAACCTTAGTTTCCCATTTTTTACTCTCGCAAAAAAAGTTGATTGATTAAAATAAAAAACTAGGGCCTAAAAAATAATTTGTAAAGAAAAACAACACCGATTATTATTTAATCCCTTCTGATAAATTTGTTACATACCGACATCACCTAATTTAGCCAGACATGGTTGGAAAATTAAACATTCTAATATAATGCAAAATATTAATAGTAATCATGCTGAAATATGATAAACAAAAGCAGAATAATTGAAACCTGGAAAATTGAATTAACTGGCAATTAAAGTCAAGTACAAGCTTGATGAAATAATTATGGCAGTCTTCAAACAGGTACAAGAATAATCCATTCGAAATGCAAAAACTGAATAATAAAAATAATACTGCGCTCACTGGAATGAAAACTGAAACAAAAAAATAATTTCTCGTGAAAATTCTCCCGGGGCCTTTTTTGGAGGCTTTCTCTGGTTTTTATACTCGGTTAAAGAGACGAAGGATTCGCTTCAGGTGCGTGAGAATCGTGAGGAACGCGTGAGGAGTGGAACTAGAAAGTAGGGGAAGTGGGAGAATTTTTCTCCTCACATATAGGTGGCTTGCGCCACCTCCCCACCTTTCCTATGTGGCTTACGCCACTTTCTCTTCTAGTGGTGGATGCCACCCCAATGTGGCTTGCGCCACATGTGTGTGATGGTGGGCACACCCTTTTATATTTTTTTTCCTTTTTCTTTTCTTTTCTTTTCTTTTCTTTTCTTTTCTTTCCTCTTCTTTTCTCTTCTTTCATTTTCTTTCCTTTCCTTTTCTTTTCTCTTCATTTCTTTTAAATTCCATTTCGAACCGAGTTCCTAAGAAACACAAACAAATATGAGTAATATAAAGCATAAATCGGGGGAAATCAAATAAAATATAGTATAAACTCATGCATGTCAATTCAGATACACGATACAATTTTGCGTTATCAAAGATCACGTTTGATTTTAATAGAACTCTCAAGAGGAAACTCTTGAGAATAGGAGAAGGCCAAGTGGTTAGGCCAAATCTATATAAATCTCTAGTGCAATATCTCTATCAATTCTCTCTTTATTTTCCATTGTTTATTTTATTTTAGTTGCACATCTCTTTTCTTTTTCATTTTCTTTCTATCTTTCCACCTTTCTATCTTTCTGCCTCCATATATTTATTTGTTTATGAAATCTAATATAAATGTTTTAAAGACCAAACTTTTTATAAATTATTTTTAAATTTCAAATAACACAATTCACCCTCTCCCTGTCTATTTGGAGTTAATTGGTTAATAATTTCATCATCCATAGCCTTTCTTCACACACCCACCTTGTAGAATTATCATTCTTCACATGATTTTCATTGACATAGGGACCAAATATGGCTAGGTTCATCATTTCTTCATCAGGTTTTATATCCTTAATAGAAGTAGCATAGTTTTTAAGCTAATATTGAGGTTTCCTAACTCACCCTTCATTTAAGTTTGAGTTAAAAATTCTTGTTTCTCAATGGTTGATGTGCCACTAGCCACCGCAACTCAAGTATGTTGTTATCACTTTCTTGAGTCAGTTCTTCTTCATTTGTCTCACTATTCTCTTTCATTTTCAGCGATATCTAACTTTATATCTTCAACTTCCTTTTCTTTATTCTACATCAATCTATCATTTTCAGAAGACATCATTTCTACTTGTAATAATATTTTTGGATGTAGGGTTATATACCCTATATGTCTTAATTGTGTTACTGACTCCCAAGAAAATGACTTCCATTCTTTTGACAATAGTTTCCTTCTTTGGACATCTAAATGTGTGCATAGCAATGTATCCAAATATTCTAAAGTGTTTAACTGGGGGTTTTGATTCTCTCTAAGCTTATTCTGGAATGACTTTTGCTATTGCAACAATATGCCTTCTGTTTAGCACATAGTTTTCCTAGCTCACACCTTCAGGCCAAAATATCTTTGGTATTCCTCTTCTTACTAACATGCTTCTAACCATATTCATTAGGGTTTTGTTCTTCTTTCCAGTCACTCCATTTTTTTTAAAGAGTGTAAGTTGTAGTAATTTGTCTTTTGATCACATTCTCTTCACATAACTTCTTGAATTCATGGGAGTTGAGTTCTCTTCTTCTGTCCATCCTTATGCAACAAATTGGCTCTCCAGTTTATTTTTAAATCATTAATTTGAAATTCTTAAAGTAGTCTAATGCATTAGACTTTTCATTTAAGAAGTACACTCAAAGTTTTTATTACTGAAATAATTTGTGAATGTCAGTATATACCTCTTGTTGTTGTCAGATATGGTAGTTACGAGACCACATATATTATAGTATATAAAATTTAATCTTGTTCCTAATCTCTAAATACTCTTCTTTGGAATTGTTTATCTATGTTGTTTCCCTACCATGTACTCTGCACATACTTGCTCTAACTCTTGAATTATAGGCAATCCTTTCACCATGTGCTTATTGTCTAAAAAATTTAGTCTCTTGAGGGCTCAAGTAACCATATCTACAATGCCATGGGTATGTAGTATATTCATATTCAGTCTTCAAACAATACATATTTTAAATTTTAGGAATTATGGGAAATAGCTTGTTTGAGGCCATTTGAGATTACATTGATAAGAAGCCCGACATTGCCTTTGTCCATGACCTGCAACTTGGAATTGTCCCCAATCTCACAACTTCTTTGAAATATGATTTAAGAACTGAAAATCATATTTTCTTTTCACACATGTGATTGTTATCAAACGGGTAATTCTTGTAACATAATCACTTATCGTATCCTTCTCCTCCTCCATTTGAAGTCATTCGAATTGACGTTTGTGAGTTTGTAACCTCACCACATTGGCTTTGCCATCCCCTGCATAAGCCTTTTCCAAGATCTATCAAGCTTGCTTTGTCGAATCGCAATCGCCAACTTTTTCGAAGTTGTCACCATCGACACAAGAATGAATCAAGAAGAGTGTCTTGTAATCTTTCTTCTTCTCTTCCTTGAATGTAGCCTTCTGAACATTTGTAGCTTCTGCCCCAAGTGGTGTAACTCCATTGTTGATCACTTTAAGAGCCTCTTGATACCCAAATAGAACTTTCATTTGTTTGGACCACTTGTCATAATTTTTTGAATCAAGAATCAATAGGTTGTTGGATACTCTATCGTTGGAAATGATATTCATCGTTGCAGCGGAGTAATGGATTAGAATCAGTGCTCTTGATGTCAAATATTAGAACAAAGAACAACTCGATTGAGTTAACAATGGTGGAAATTAGAATTTAAAGATTTGAAATTAAGAGAGAAATAATAGAGACAGATATATATAGAGAAAGAGGATGAGGATTATATTTTTCATTAACCATAAAATGAGAGTACAAAAAACTATTTATACAACAAGTACAAAAATTAAAAAAATACAAACCAACTTAAAAAAATAAGTTAAAAACACAAAAAAAAATGCCAAGTATAACCGGTTATCATATTTAGAATAACCCATTACCACAAAAATTACTAGCTACCTCTCTAATGTAAAAAACAAATAATCAGTTATTACATATCCATTATCTGGTTACACCATCTAAATTAAAATGGCAGAAAATCAAATTGTAACAAAAAGTACCTACCATATTCAATAAAACTTAAGTGTGTCATAGAATTATTCTCCTTTATAAATTTGGAAGAAAAGAAAAAGTAAAACAAATGAGATAAAAACTAGAGAATTCTAAACAAAACAAAAAAAAGTGTGTGATGGAAGAGTCACTATCAGAGTATTGTGCAATACAACTCTATGTAAAGGAAGGCTAAATAAAATCATAATATTTGTCGGATATTGAGCGAAGAAAGATAAAGTTGGAGTCCTTTATCATTGTCTATTGCGATGATAATTTGGTTTTGTTGTTTTGCCAAATAATAAAAGTTGTCTCTTTTAGATTGTGGTTAACAAATAAAAAATTGTCACTATCCGAGTATTATAGTTTTTAACGACGATGTGATAAATATAATTTGATTGATCTTTTTATTGAAAAATAATTTGGTTGATCAAGATTTAATCAAAACATTCTTAAAACTAATATGAATGTGTATGATCAATGGCAGATCTTGAAAAAATTTGGGTGTCAAAAACTAAAATACATATATAAATTTGTTTAAAAATTTGTTTTCAATTTGTTGTGGTTAATTTTATAATTAAATTATTTTAATACTAACAAATTTCTTAGCAACATTTTTTAACAAAAATATAAAGTTAGTGGAATCAAAAGTCAATCTCCAACTTACGTTGGAAAAACAACATTTACCACGCCTAATAATCAACATTAATAATATAATACACTTAATAATCCATAAGAAATTCGGAAGGTAGATATACTATTCAAATTCGTGAGATCTATTTATTTATTTTAAAATGACAAAAAAAATTGACATATCTGTTGCTTTCCCACACACATAATATATGTAAACTTATTTGATGAAACGAGTTCTACTTATAAAAAAAAAACTTTTTTAAATTTATTAAATAATAAATATATTTGATCAATATAATAAACCAAATATATAAATTATTCGATAAATCTAAAAAATAAATTTTCTTGAATAAAAAAGTATTAGAAAAACTCCCTATTTCATTTTAAACCTTCCTTTTATTCTAAGCAACTGTGATGATAACAAATTACTACTTCACAAGATTCTTGATAACTGGACGAGGTTTGCACACAGCCTTTAATGGAACTGATCTTGACAAAGTAAATCCACTTTCTTCAGTCATATCAATCTCTTTATCTCCCACTTTTTTCCATTCAAAGCACTGAATCAACAAACCCAAAGTCAAGCTTATTGCACGCATGGCCAAGACTTCACCTGGACAAGCCCTTCTTCCCTTCCCAAATGCAATCAACTTCTCTAACTCTCCTTCTTTCTCAAACCTCTCTGGCTTGAAGGTTGTTGCTTCACTCCATGTTTCAGGGTCTCTGTGAATGGCCCAAGCATTAATCAATACTATGGTGTCTGCTGGAACTTTGTATCCTCCAATAATACAATTCTCTGAGGAAGAGTGTGGTAGTGATAATGGAGCGGGAGTGTACAACCGTAGTGTCTCGTAGATTATGTTTTTGAGGTAAGGGAGTTTTGGAAGGTCGGATTCATCCAACAAACGGTCTTGGCCTACGTGAGTTTCCAGTTCTTGCCTTGCCTTCTCTAGCACCCCTGGATAGGTCAATACGCAAGATAATGCCCACTCTAATGTTACAGCTGATGAGTCTGTTCCAGCAAGAAGCATACCCTAAAACCAGACCAATTCAACATAAGAAAAAAAATATCTATAAAACATGGACTCTGATACGGACACAATAATGGCACGACAGTACACAGACAATCTAAAATATAAGAAACCAACGTTAACAACGTTACAAATATAATAATAGTCAAACTTTATTTATGCATTGATTATTAAAAGTAGCATAGAACAATATTATTACCAGAGCAAGACCTTTGATGATTTGATCAGTATAGTACTCAGATTGTGATTCTTGCAAACTTAAAAGATGATCTATCATAGTATTGGTATGTTGATTTTTGTTGCGATGTTCTTGGATGAGTCCTCTCAAGAACGCATCAGTTTTGCTACTAATCTTCTTTAACCTCTTCTCCAAGTTTTCAAAGTCAATCAACCTAAGTACCGGCAAGAAATCATTCTTATTATTAGCACCCGACAGCTGCAACAAATCCGACACCATGTCTCTGAATTCCTTTGCTTCTTCTATATCCGTCATGTCACAATCATCTCCATAGTATCTTTTACCCGAAATCATTCTCATTATGTTATTGAAAGTCATGTCGAAGAATCTAGACCTGAGTTCAACTTCCACGAAACCCTCAGACGAATCCTGGGCTAACTTTTTTACAAGTCTCTGAGTCTCGTCCCTACGGATTTCGGAGGAGCTACTGATACGGTGGTTTGAAAGGACGTCAATCGCAGTGATGCGACGAAGGTTTCGCCAGTGTTCGCCATAGGATGAGGATCCTAAGGTGGTATAGTTGTAGAAGATGTATTTTCCGGAGAGAAAACGAGGTCTATTTGCTAGGACAACATCGTTTTTTGTAAAACATTCTTGGACTAAAGAAGGTGACGAGACAACAACAACGAGACGTGAACCGAACCAAAGAGAAATGACATCCCCGTATTTTTTGGATAATCCTTTGAAGGTGTGGTGGAGGGGGCGTTTAAGGTGGTGGAGGTTGCCTATTATGGGAAGAGAAAGTGGACCTGGTGGGAGGTTTTTGAATTTTCTTGATTTGAAGAGAAGGTTGAAAGTGTAAAATAGAACAAGATAAAAGAGAGTGTAGGAAAGGAGTGAAAGGGTGTCCATGGCTCTTGATGTGGTTTTGTCTTGTGATATTCCAAATATTTATATAAATGAAAATGGTTCATGGCCTATGTAAGCAAAGATTTTCTACACTTCTTTTTTTGTTTTATAAATGGAAATTATTTGTTGTCAATTTCCTTGCATCAACTTATGATAATTATTTTTAAATTTAAAACTATTTAAAAAAAAATATAAGTATGACTATTATTATGATAATCAAAACTATGACTCACATATTAGAAAAAAATACCAACAAAATATATCTAATAGAAAATCAATGAATAATTGGTTATTCTAGAATCATACTTTTCTCACACTATAAATATTAATAATAGAATAACAAGAATATCTTGTAAATAATTATAAGAATAATAATTTCTATCATACTGTCACACTCTAATTTTTAATCCTAAGATTCTACCTAATTTGCATCATCTTAACATGAAATCAATCAGCTCATGTGTGTGTTTTGTGCATCTCTAATCCCTTGGGAACACTAAGGTGTCTGCTTTATTTTATTTTGAGTGCAAGTTAGGGTGTTGGCACCAAGAGCTCAAGAAGTTGACCAATCAAGGACCTATATGATCCTTAACATTTTAACATGATCAAAGGTCTCCCTACATCAACAATCAAGTGCAAAGTTTCATAGACTCGGGTTCAACAAGCTCCAAGTCATCTGATGCACTAAATTAGAGTTTTGACTTTTTGAGCAATGCATGATCTCACACCTCAAGACATGTTTCAAAGACCTCAAGTACATCATATTAGTTCATTCATATGTTTGAATTGGTTCGAGAAACTTGATTCATTGACAATTGAAGAATTAAAGTTCAACTGAGAAAAGTCAATTGTTCATCAAAGTCAAAGTTTAACTTTTGAGATTTTTGGTCAAACATGGACTCGATAAGTCAAAGATCATGAAAATGTGAAGGATGATTGGATTTGACCATGATCAATCAAGGAAAACATTCAAGAATCAAAAATTGGAAAATTAGGGTTTTAGATTTTTTTTTTTCTAAGTTATGGAAATTTGTGAATAAGTGACCTACTTTCCAAGACCCTAACTTCTTCCTCAAGCATCCAATAAAAATACTTGAGGACTCCTTTTAAAGATGGTATCACATACTTCATATTGGTGAAAAAATGGACCCAAAAGCATTTACCAATTGAAAGTTATGATTGATCAAAGTTGATCTTTCTAAGATGTGAAGATGTCAATACTTAGAATTTTTTTCTAGGTATAAAACAGTGAAAAATTTAATTTTGATGGCAATTTTTCTCAAAGATCCAATTTGATTCTTTCCAAGTGATCAACATCAAATTTGTAGTATGTGATATCTTCTTTCTAATATTACCAAGAGCATGAATTTATCTTGCTTGAGCATGAAGTTATGAATTTGCAAAGTGGTTATGAGAGAGTTGTTTGAACCAAGACAAATTTTGCATCAAGATTTTCACACAAGTTTAGGATACTTTTTGCCCACCTTCCAAGCATTTTTAGAGCAAGTGACCAATTTAGAAGATGTTCATTGTCATGAAATATTTCCAATGGTACCAAATCCTGCCATGATTGATCTTGTTACACCATAGAAAAGCTTCATCCAACATGTCAACTTGAATCAATTTTGGACATTGGACAAAAAATACCTTTTGCCTCCAACCACTTTCCATGATTCAAGAAAAGCATGATATGAGCTAAAACTAACTTGTACAAGTTGTGCAACCCTTGAGAACTTGTGAGGCAAAGTCAACCTGGAAGCTACTAAAGTGAAAAGTGCTTTTATACTTGATTGTCCAACTTTATGCCTTTGATCTTGAACCACCAAACAATGCCATGATCCATTGATCCTTAGCTGATCACTTCTCCTATAAATAGAGCATCACACCAGATGCTAAACGCACAACATTTGAGCCAAGAAACCTCTCATGATCTCAGCAAGCATACCTTGAAGTTCCAAGTGTGTTCATCACTTTCCTCCAAACACCAAATTTGTCGAAACTTGTTACAGTCTTCAAACCTCCAAACTTTTCACTCAAACACATCATAATCATCCTACATAACTTGCTCAAACACACCAAAACCACTCAGAGCACCTCAAACCAGAAGTCAACTCTCTTTGATCACCATCGTTGACCAAAGAGCCAAAACTTCCTATCTTTCATTCCTTGTCATTTTCTTCCATTCAAATATCCCAGACTCCTTCTAAACACTTCATAGAAACTTTCCAAATCATCAAACACAACTTGTAACACCTCCATCTCAGAAATCACTTTTCATTTTTTCTCCACTGCAACTTGATTCGAGTAGAAGAACCAAAGGCTTTCCAAGGCGACTTGATCAATCAGATACCTTCCTGGGAGTCTAGTGGAGCTAAAGCAGTCATCATCTTACATCTGGAACAACTTTGAAGGTACATTGGGCATTCTCCAATAGGTAAGCTTTTTAACTTTTCACACTCAATGATTCAAGCACCATTTGCATCCGTATGAGCTACCATTATGTTTGTTAGGATGTAAGGATCAAAAGCCCTAAGTTTGTATGGATTAATTGTGTAAAACTAGCATTTAATTTTTGTTTTAGAAATTAGGGTTTATCTGGATATGGATGAAATTCTTGAGCTAAGGTTTTAATAAATAAATTTGGTTGGCATATTTGAATTCCTCATGACTATCTGAGTGAAATGGTATATTAATTTGTCATGTTTGGTCCCTAAATCAGAAAGTTGAAAATTTAAAATTCTTGAATCTTGAGGTTGAAGACGAAGCTGGCTTCGTGCGTTTTTCATTTTCAGAAGTTTTTTTTTTTTTATATATATTTTATTGGAGCGAAACAAATGACAGGCCATGTGGCCTGCCCCAGTGGTTGGACGTGTTTTGGGGAGTGAACCTCTAGGGCACAGGTTCGAACCTGACTGCCCCCCTTTCTTTTTAATGCTTGTTTTCATGTTTTTTTTTTCCTTTTCTCATTTTTTATCTTATTAATTATTTAGTTTCTTTTATTTTCTTTTATCCAATTTCTTTTTTTCCATTTTTATTTTAACAAATAAAAAATGTCAAATATTATTAATGTTATTTATTTGTATTAAAATTTTAATTTTTTTAATTTATTTTCTTTTTGATTATTTACTTCATTTAAACTTTAAAAGGCCAAAAATGCTTTTATTTTCTTTTTATTGCTATCCTCTTATTTTTAATACCCAAAATTGACCTCTTGATCATTTATTAAGTTTTGCATTCATGAATATATGTCTTTCAAATTTGTCATTTGTGTAAGTATTTCAAAATTGTCATTAAATGTAACGTACATGCTTGTTTAGCATTTAGGGTATTTTTATTGGTATTTGATGATCCATGATTGTGTTCCTTGTCCATATTGATGCTTCCTTGTGTGACATGATGTGTTTATCTTTTGCCATCTGTGTTGTGTTTTGAAGACTTTAAATGGTTGATAATGTTACTGCTTGTTTTAAAGTTGTCCATGTGTTTAGAACTTGTTTGATTACATTCTTGACCTAAAAGATCATGATGAAACCATTCATTTATCTCTTGTCCTTGTGTTGACTCTGCCTTATATGACCAAGTTGTAATTATGATGAGATGTTGATACATGTTGAATCCTGTCCTTGTAAATCATGCATTTTGTTTTGATAGCATCTTGTTGAAGCGTGACTTGATGATTGAAATATCCATGTCTCTTATTCATATGAATGTTAACTTGTGTCTAAGCATGCCTTGATCAAATGTGTAACCATGTGTGTGTGTGTGTGTGTGTGTGTTGATTCATGTTAATCTTGTCATACTTGAACCATGTCTTAAGCTCCTTGTTTAGTCATTTGTTTAGAGGTCATGTTGATTTTTTATGTTGAATGTCATGTGTGTTTGTATGTACATGTTAATTTTGTTTACCATGTTGCTTAATCCAAGGGAGGGACTCATTGTTAACTTCATGTCATTTGCATATGCATCCTTACGTTCTTGTAGATATTTTACATGACTTGATATCCTTAGGATGTTTGCCTTTAGAAAGTTTCCCTTAGGATTGATTCAATTTAGATAACTCAATTAGGGTTTCCTCTCTTCTAAACTCAAAATCTCTTTCAATTGAAACCTTGACATTAGGTCATTGACTTTTCAAACTCATTTTCTTAATATAAGCTTCAAGACATCTTAAGCATATTCAAAACTTTTTTCACAAAACTAAAAGACACAAACCTTAATTCAAACCTTTTGCCACTTTGGCTTTTCAATTTAAAACCTTTTCAAGTAGATTAGACATTAGTCATCCTTAGTTGAGATATAATTCTCCTACCCCGTGACATTGTTGAGATATATGTTGATTCATTTCCACTTGAGAGTGGTATGTGGAATAATTGTTGATTCTATATCCAAGTTGGATCCGTTCTCTCAATGTGAAGCAAAGATCCATATTCCACATATTTGTGGTGGATAATTTGAGTGTTCTCCTTAAGATGAGAACTTGTCTCTTTTTCATTAAAATCCACCTTAACAAACCTTTTTCAATTTGTACCCCGAACTACGAGGTTTTGATCCTTCATTGGTACATAGGCACAAGACTTTGTGTCTTGCCAAACACAAAAACAATAAAAAACATTTCTCTTCTCATCTCCTCAATCAATCCCAAATAGCAAACAATTTAACAATAACACAAATACAACAAGAGATTCTTATAGAATACTATAGATACTTATGTGAGGGCAAAGCCTCATATATAGATGTGCTCGTTTCGATGATGTCAAAACTTAGCTCCATAGAAGAATATATGTTGGACGTTATCACCATGTTGCATTTGCATATCTTATTTCTCATAATTCAAATGCTCGCATAAAACATCTCAGTTGTTGCATATAGATTGTCAAAAATATGTGTCATATGAGTTATACTTTATTGGTGTCATTTGCCATATCATAGATGTCATCAAAAGTGTCGAAAAATATGAAAATATGCATTTTTGACAGTTTCAGGGCTTTGAGTCGACCAAAGAT